GAAATATATACTTCCCTCTTGACTTTCTAGAAAAGTTCTTATAAAATAAAAAGTTGTAGTCTTAGCTAACGTTAGCATTAGCTGAGATGGTTGCCATGGCGCCCCCAGTGAGCGGCAGCTTGTTGCAACAGCTCTGCTCATTCTGAGCTTTTTTCTTATTTTACTGTTTTTATTCCTTCTTATTTCTTGATTTAATCACTAGAAATATAAATCTGACACCAGTATTTACCATCACGCTGATAGTTTTGGCGATTGTTTTGTGGTTTTTACTTTTGTTTTGCCTGTTTGTAGATGTGTATTTCTTTCTAAATACACATCTGCATTTTTTGCGTCTGTCTGTCTGTCTGTCTGTCTGTCTGTCTGTATTCATATTTATGCTTCTAGTTTAGTTTTTACGGTGTTTTTTTCTACACTACTGTTTTTTTATTCGTTTTTCATTTCTCTTACTCGGCGGCGGTTTTCCAACATCTTGCCTAATGAAGGACTAATAAAGGGTTATCTTGTTTATTTAATGTTTTTAATTTCTGCTCTAATATGAGCAGCGGTTACCTTAGTAACGATGTTTGTTTTATGTTAATACGTAGTCCCCATCAGCCTGAACCTGAAGTGATCTGCACCACTGAACCGCCATCTTGGTAGGCAAACGCACAGAAAACCCATGATTTTGAGACCAATAAAAAGAAAGTATATTTACCAATGTTCCATATATATATATATATATATATATATATATATATATATATATATATATATATATATAAAAACGCTGATGTTGGGATTGATCTGCATGAGACAGAAAACGTTGCTTGTTTATTGTTGTCATAGCAACTGTCATGACGTTTAATTACAGATACCTACCAAGATGGCTGTCGGCTACAGAGTTCTCAGAAGTATGATGTTGCATGAAAACGTCACACTTTCAGTTGAAGCTAAGCTTAGTTTAGCATTAGCTTATAAACCAACAATTCATTCTGTTTTATTTCAGCTACCAGGCAGAAGCAGTAACAGTCCAGTTTTCGTTTTGGAGTTGCATTTTAAACCATAAAACATTCCCTGCTTTGTGACCTCTTTTAATTTGAAATGTAATTTAGTCCAGCTGACCTGTGATGCTCTTCGTCTCCGTGCGAAGCTCCTCTCTCTGGTTGCTCGGTGAGGTGAAGGTTAGCCGGGTTAATGCAGTTTGAAGCTGGTAAGAAGACTGAACAGGTTAATGATGTGACCCGGAGCAGAAGCCGTTCTCCAAGGGGAGTAGTCGCGCTTTTATTCCCCTACTCAGATGTAAAGATGAGCAGATGATTATCATTTGTTGGTGTGAGGCAGTGTCTAATCGCTTCATCACCCTCTTCATCATCACTCCAAGAGGCACACAAAAGCTCTCATGTGAAATGAAGGTCTTTCATGCACGACTCACCACTTTTCTCCTGGGAACTGATTATTACTCTAATTTTCTGACCTGTTCCGGCTTAATGAACAATGAATCTCTCCTAAGTTTAGTTTTTAGGCCTTTTAGCGGCACCTTCGTTTTCTCTTTTACATCCCCTGGGATCAGACTGATATCTGCCATGAAAATGTGAATAAAGAGCCAAAAAGGCGTGGCAAACAGGACTGTCACGCCAGCACCTTTCAGGTGACTATTTTTTTCTGATGATGATCTAATCGGCATGGATGTGAGTGGATTTCACTCTGTAAAAACACGTAGAGTTCTGTTTGAAAAGCTGCAGTCAGAAATTACAGAAATAATTTTACTTATTTAGCCTCTAATAAAAAAAAAATGGAGGTTCAATTTTTCAAAGTTCTATTTTCACCTGTTAATCATTATAAATTTAACAGTTTCAACTAAATATTTAATTAGCAAGGTAAATATTTAGCTATAAACTAAATATAGTAGATTAGATATTTAGATCCAAGCTAAACTTTAGACAGTGAACTAAATAGTTTAAAACGAAATATCAAGTTTGATAACTAAATAATCAACATGGAGCTAAATGTTTATATTTAGCTTCAACCTAATATCTTAGTTTGCTCCCAAAATATTTAGTTTGATGATGAAATATTAACTCACAAGCTAAATATTAAATCACTAACTAAATATTTAGTTAAGCAATTAAATATTTAGTTAAGTAACTAAATATTTAATTTAAGTTTCATAACTCAGTAATCAGTATGAAGCCAAATGTTTATATTTTGTTTTTGCCTGATTTTTTTAGCTCCCTAATTAAATATTTAATTTGAAGCTAAAATATTTGACTTGTTAACTAAATATTTAACCTGCTAATTAAATGTTGAGCTTAGAGCTAAATATTTAATTTGCTAACTAAATATTTAGATTGAAGCTGAAATATTTAATTCCATAACTATTTAACTTAAAACTAAATATTTCTCACTAGCTAAGTATTTTTAAACTGAAGCTTTAGCTTGCTAGCTTAATATTTAGGTTTGAACTAAATCTTTAGTTTGTAAGCTTAATATTTAGCCTGCTAATTAAATATTTAATTTGAAACTGACATTTATGAATTAATGAACAGCATGTTGAAAATATGACTGAAAGAATTAATTAACATTTTATTTTTTTTTCTTTTGACAAGCGAAATAACCCAAATTACTGCTGTTTATGTTTTTATTCTAAGGTCTGGATGTGGAGGTTTTGCTAGCAGTGACACCAAGTAGGTTCTTGGTTAAATTCCCGGTCTGGCGTCTCTCTGCATGGAGTTTGCATCCCTGTGAAGCAGAGGTTCTCTGGTTACTTCGGCTTCCTCTCAGAGTCCCAACTTGACTGTTTGGTGAAGTAGTTTCTAAATTTCCCTAATTGTGCTTCTAATTTCTGCCAAACTATTACTTCCCTATCGTGTCTGAATCTTTAAAGTCTCTTTTTACTCCAATTTGCTGTTGAATTCTTTCCGTTTATGGCACTTAGTCATTGTCTTTTCTTTGCAACATTCTGCTACTTCCCTTTAACTTTTATTTTTAGCCACAAGCAGCATGACTGCAGGACCGTCTGTCTGTTCCTCAGTCAAACTGAAATATTTCTGAATATTAAACAGCATCTGTGAGTGGTTTACAAACGGACGTGGCCGTTTAACAGAACAATCAGTTAGTTTTTTTATTTCAGATGTATCCTTTGCAGCATTTTATATAAAGTGCTTATTTTTCTATTTAAGAAATTACTAGAATATTTTTATTGCTTCTTTTAATGTTTTTCTAATGTTGTACATAGAAGGCTTGTGGTTAAATGAAAAATCTACATAATTTGACAATTTTTAAAAATTTGATTAATCGATTGATTAATCGTCAGAATAATCAATAGAATAATTAATTACTAAAATAGTTGAAGAATAATTTCCTTTCTTTTAATTTGATTCTAACAATGTATTGAAAAAAGGCTTAAATAAAAGATCTGCATAATGTGACAGTTTCTTAAATCGATTAATCATCAGAATAGTTGATTAATCAATAACAAAGTTAAGTTAAATGACTTTATTTAATTCCCAATCAAATGCATTAGCTGTCACAGCTCTAATTAGCATCCCAGGATTAACTCTGCATATGCTCAATAATGCAGTTTGTTGTTTTAATCCGTCTCTCTCATTGTGTTTGTCCTTCAACTCTGGGACCGACTCTCCTCACTAGTTTCTGCTTTGCTCCGTCGGCTGACTGTGTTCTGCTGCTCACCTTCTGCATCCCGCACCCCGCCGCTTCCTCCAAAGCCTCTGCCTATCTCTGATTACTCAGCACTATGCAAAGCGCTGGCTTCTTCACATTATAATCATCTCTTGTGTGTGCACCGTTCTCCGGTTGGTCAGATTTCTGACAGGTCTGCAGAAACCTGCCGGCTCTCCCCTTCGTCCCCCTCCAGTTTGCTCTGACTGCTGCCGTCTCCTTCATTCATTTAATGTCTCTCCTCCCCTGATATCTCTTCTCTGTTATGTTTTACAGGCTTGCTTTGATTTTTATTGAGTTTTCTTACATTCCTCTGGTGGTATTCCTCAGAAACAGCTTGATACTGGAGGGCTCGTTAGCTTTGCTTCATATTAAATGAACTACTTGTAATGTAATGGCTGACACTTATGTTTATGTTTTACTTAATTCCTACCATTAAGGTGCTTATTTTATGCCCTTAATGTGCTCGAAACTCCAGAAAATCACCTAACTAGGCCTGCAACTAATTAATTTTATTGATTAATCAATTAATCTGATTAAAAAGTTGGCATATTCTGTGGATTTTTCATTTAACCAACTTGGATTTTTTTATACAACATTTAAAATGCATGACAAAATACAAATAAATAGTTAAATTATTTTTGTAAATAAGAAAATAAGCATTTTATTGTCCAAAATGCAATAATATAACATTCATTTAGTGAACATTCATTTAGTTGTGGCAGAGTTACATCTGCAGCTAAAAAGTACATCTAACTTTATGTGAAAAGGTCAACATTTTTTACTTATTATTTTTGGATTAAACAATTAATAATTAGACAGCAAAAGGTGCTTAATAGGATTATTATTATTATTTTACTGAATTTGAACCAGATGGAGCTGACACTAAGCCACTTGAGGAGTTTTGTTGGAATATATTTACCAAAAATGATTTTTTTAAAAATCTTGTACACAATATGTCTTTTTTTTTTTGGTACTTTTTTGGCTCTGCGTGTTTTGTTCTTTAAATTGCCTTTTTTTTGAGTCTGCATACTCCAGTTAACTGTTAAACGATTGCTAAATGATGATTATTTTAATAATCGATTAATCCGATTAATCGTAAATATATTCTGGATTTTACAGGTTTTTTAAGGATCCAGTGGTTTTTGCAAAGACGGCCAAAATATTTGCATTGAAAGAACATTTGGTTGCAAAAAGAATTTTATCTGCTCAATAATAAACTAAAGTTAAATTTCAGATCAACGATTAACTTTTTGGGGTTGATTATTTTCTTATTTGGCCTGTTGCTTTGCATTTGAGTAAAAGTAAGTCGATGTTTGTGGTTCTAGTTACTCCAAATCTAAGATGATTGCAAAAACGTCTGTTTTTTGTACCTCATATTTAAGGTGGTACTTATTTATCACAGATGAAAAAGTGTCTTGCATTGAGGACAGGGGGCCGCACAGAATCCCTCAGAGGGCTGCAAACGGCCCCCGGGGCCACACTTTGGACAACCCTGCTCTGGGATTTATCTAACATGATGTAAATGTGCTGTCTAAAGCAAAATAGAGACCAGAAATAATCTGAAGTAACCCTACCAAACCTCTGAAAAGGAAGTAACAGTTCTCTGCATGTGTGCAGAGCAGATGTAACGTCTCTTCCTTTAAAAATATAAAATAAATAAATCATCCACTGTGGCCCCCTCAGAGCCAAAAAGCCACTTCAGAGTGAGTCAGATTACCGATCTGTCCCTGAAGGCCTGTGCTTGGCTCGGCGCAGCGCTTCAGGATCCGCAGAACCGAACGGCTGAATAACAAACAGCCTCAATCCTTCACGCAGGATCGACCAATCAGAAACCAGAGATGTCAGAAATATCTGCAGAGAAAAACTGAAAAAGTAAACGAGGAAGCCTCTAATTTGATGTAATTACACAAATTTATTCAAGTAGCTGTAATTACAAACCACTTTGCAGCTTTACATTTTCCATGCAGATGTAAAAATGTCTCATCACTGATCTGGAACTGAGACATGACGGTTTCTTACCTAAACATTCAGCTTCCTCATTATGAGCAATAATGAGGAGATTTTAAATTGAAATGGACTTTTGATGAGCCGTTTTTAAACATGAAATTGTGCGGATGCAAGTCTTTTCGTTGTTGGAACCAAGGATTTAGCTACTACTGGAGGAAAACCATCTTTTGAGCTGATTTTTGACTAGAAAAACAGTCTGACGGTTCATTCTCCACAGTGCAGGAGGGGATTCTGTATGTCTGGGACCTTGAAGGTGAAATTTAGCGCCACAAAAAGGTTCATTTATACATATGAGGTGTGAATAGTGTGTTATTATGTTGTGAGGGTTGTCAGGCCTGTCTGTTCACATGGAGACCAGAGTTTCTGCTCTGGTCTGGTGGTTGTCTGCACCACTAAAGGCTTCCTGGAGATGGAAGAGAGAAATCCTTTATTGTCCTTCAGAGGGGAAATGTTGATTTAACAGCATGAACCTAACAGGCAGTCAGGAAAATAAAAAAGTCGTAGTTAATTTCCACCTAAAGATTAACATTTTGAGAATAATCCCAGATATTTTCTAGGGGAAAAAATCAGAGAAAATTATGAGGTTAATCTCAAGAATTAGAAAATGTTAAACTTTTGAAACTGAATTTTTTTCCTAGACATTTTCTGAGATTGTTTTTTAAAATCGACTTTTTTTCAAGCAATTTTTTTACCTTTACAAGTCAGAAACTTCCCCATGTTTTTCTAGAAAATTTAGGAGATTCATCTCGCAATTTAAACTTTTTCCATCAATTTTCCCCCCACTTTTCTGACTTTTCAAGTAGAAAATTTCTGAGATTAAACTAAGAAAATTAAAGTTTTGACTTTTACAACTCACAAGCTTACCAGTTTTTTCTACAAAAATTTAGATTTTCCCCATCAAATCTCAGAATTTTCAAATTAAAAAATTTCCATTTTTTTTCTAAAAAACAGATTAATAGTTTTTCTAGCAAATGTTTGACTTTTCAAATTCAAAAATTAAAAATTTCCTTTTAGAAAATTTTTAGATAAATCAATCTGAGATGTTTCTAGCATTTTTTTTCAACTTTTCAAACTCAGAAATTAATTTTTCTTTCCTAGAGAATATCTGAGATTAATCTCAAACTGTTTTTTGTAGAAATTAAATTCATTTTTTTCTATCCATAATGTCTCTAATACTCCATTGCGCTCGGTTGCCTGTTACTTTGATGCTTTCCTAGTCTTTGCCTTCCAGCTGCTTCCTCACTAATTTCCAGCTCAGTTTTGTTCCTGTGACAATGGCAGCATATTGTCTTGTTTGTGTTCTGAAAATGAGAGAAAAAGGAAGCCAGAAAACAGAACAACTGTGTAAAGCAGATGAAAATCATTTATTTCAACACCTCCTCCGGCCTGACAGACACTGAAGTGATTCAGCTTCCGTCAGCTGCTCATCTGCTGCATTTTCAATCATTTTATCTGTCTGTTAAAATGCTTTGTTGGATTTTTATATTTCCGGTGACAGAAAAGGGAACAAATTGTCTTTTTTAATGTGCAGACACTGGTTTATACCTGGTGTTACAGCCACAAACCTAAATGTATTTTTTAATAAGATTTTATATGGTTTAGAAACATAAAGACGTGCATAAATGCAAAGTGGAAGGAAAGTGAAACAGGATGGAAATCTGAAAAGTGTGTTTTCAAAACGTGAAATGTGTTTCCTTTGGTAATTTGTAAAAATTACTTCCATTTGCCATAGAAATAGATTTATGACTCTCCCACCTGAGCTGTGAATCTGTGCAGCTCTTCCACTGCTACCATTAGTTTGAACCTCTCAGACTTTAACACATCAGCTGAATTTATACTGAAAATACGTTAAATAAAGGTGAATTCAATACACGGTTTAGGCATAAATAGCAGCAACCAGCTGCTCTCGTGTTTGAAGGATTTGCGTCAACAGGGTTGAATATAAAATAGAGACTGATACTGAAATGTCCAGTTAAAATTGATCAATAGGGATGAATGTTAATGCTGGTATTTCATTTATCCCTACTTTATAATACAATACAATTTTTAGAGTCATAACATTTTAGAGCTCTTACGACATTCATGCTTTTTCAGTTTCAAAATTATTTTTCAGTTTTAAATATTTTTTGTCTGTTTGAATTAATTTTTTCCAGTTTTAAAATTGTTTTTGCTTCAAAAGTATCTTACAGTCTCAAATATTTTTTTTTTCAATTTCAAAACAATTTTTTTAGCAAACTTTTTGGTCCCAATTTAGCTCCATAGTGACTGGCTTGTGGAAACTTTTCAGAATAATTCCTCACTCAAACCCTGAAGTCGTCATCTCTCACTCTTCTTTTTTCCATCTGAGAAACACAAATAAACGTTTCTTTCTTTCCTTCTTTTCCCCGTCAGTGTCTCTCTGGGAATGATGGTGTTGCCACTGGAACCGCCATCTTTGTCACCATGACGATGCCATTCAGCCCCCTGTCCAGTGACGAGGAGCAACAAAGGATGCTGGGAAACAGCAGACATCTCTATCCTGGGGCAGAAGACGAAGAGGAGGAGGAGGAAGAGGAGGAAGAGGAGATGGAAGAGGACGAGCGCGACGAGGACGGGGAGGAAGAGGAGAACGGCGAGCTGGAAGGAGACGAAGACGATGATGACGAGGAGATGGTGGAGGAGGTCAGGCGAGGAGGCATGCCTCGGATCGGGAGAGGCGAGGGTCACAGACAGTCGGGCAAACCGGCGGGACGACCCGGCGGGGATCGACAGATGAGGCCAGGAAACCCGGGACACGCCGCCAACCCGTACTCGGCCAATCCCGGACCCACGCACCAAGCAGCAGCCAATCAGCAGCAGAGGAGGCTGAAGGAGCGCACTGCCAACTCAGTGCCATCTGAAGACGCCCACATCGCCATGATGGTGTTTCGCATCGGCATCCCAGACATAAAGCAAACGGTCAGTGCAGTCCACACACAGAACAGGAGCATCAAAACCAAGATGGAGTCCAAGTCATACAATAACTAGTAACATCAGTAAAAGACCATGAGCCGTTTCTCTTGCTAGTGCTAGACTTGTGTGTTTGTGTTGGTTGCATTTACCCAGAATGCCCTGCAGTGTAGGCCACTTCCTGCTTTTGGAGCGGTCTCCGCTTGGCATTCGAACCACACCAGAGTTCACTTCAACCCAGGGTTTGACAATAAATCAATAGGAATAGACATTTCTATACACAATGCGTGATCAATATCAATAATACATCCGACTGAATATTCAATAATTTCTCTTAACTCAAACCCAGAACCGCACAGCATTCTGGGAGATGCAGACACAGGAAATACTTTGGCTGCTCAACATAAGTAAGATTGGTGGAATCAATTAACTCACTGACTCTTTTGGTTACCTAGCAACTCACTCATTCTTTGGTTACCTAGCAACAGCCTACTGAGTTACTGGCGCAGCAGCAGTTTAAGGTTCTGCCACTTTGTCTGATAACTGCTTAAAAACAGTTTTTAAAAGAACGACATACAGAGAAGACTGGATAAAACAGGAAAGTCACAGCACCAGTTTGGCAGTATTTCAGATATTTAAAACAAAAACCTAATCAATAACTATTGATATCGACGCTCAGCCCTACATCAACTGAAACCCAGGTTAGAAGGCGGATCAGAGTTCGACTGCGACTTCACGCCTCCCAAACTGAGATGACTTTCTAGACAAACAAACTGGAGTTGGAGTAAAGCGGACTAATCAGGGCTGGAGTGAATTCACCCTGAAATTACTGTATTTCTGGTCCATTCCATCAAATGTGCAAAGAAAAAGTCGAAGTCTGAGAGGACGTTTTTGGATTATTCCATCAGCAGCTGCTAAAACACTTAAAAGACCTTTCAAGGTGACCTAGCTTCAGGGAGGAGAAGATGAAATGTTTAAAAGAGCCATCTGGATGACAGGAAGTTGATCCTAAAACTGTAGCAGTAGGGGATTGGGAAGGAGTAAGAAACCGAGAGAAAAGAGGGTGAAGGAGAGGAAGCATAGCCACTTGGTTGAAGTTGCCAAAGAGCTTTTTAAACGTTGCAGTGAAAAGCCCGTCTTTTCGGGGAGCGACTGGCTTTCAGAGGCCTGACGTCACGGCGGAGCAAGTTGGAGATGCAGCTGCCTCCATGTTCACAAACACAAACGCTTCCTGCATTTCCCCGCCGCTCTCACCTCTCTGATGATGAGGGATTTCTTTCCGCTGAATTATGGCTGGAGGCTAACCTCCGCTCATAATTGAATCACGGAGCGCTGAGAATTGAGGAGAAAGAAAGAAAAGTGTTGCTCATCTGTAGATGAAAGCTGACCACCTTTGAGTTTGACGAGCTGAAGGTTACGTTCCTCTGTGATGTGTTCATCAGCTAACTTACAAAGAAGCAAAAGCATATTTTATATTTACCATCCGGTGCACCGTAAATGCCTCACTGAACACCTCTTTCCTCTGGCTGCTGTGTGATTTATTATTGATCTGAGCGTTGGATGCTTGCAGCAGTGCGTGGTTAGTTGTGTGTGTGCTCGACGTATTTAAACCCAGCCATAAATAATTCACCTATCTCTGTTTATTGTAACAAATTGGCTTTAAATTTAAGTCGTAAATATGAGGTTAAGTCCAAGATGTGAGCGTCTGCTCGGGGTTGTACTCCAGGAATCAGATGAACTGCCACAAACAACGAGCTGCAGGTAAAGATGGAGTAAAAGACGGAGATAAAAGTCCTAAAAAGACTGAAGTAATAAATATCTCCACAATTACGGTTCATTCAGGAGGTGCACTGCAAAAACACAAAATCGTACCAACTAATTTTGATCTAGTTTATAGTGAAAATATCTTAGCACAGTTAAAATAAGACAAAACTAACTTACAAGTAACTTTAGAGCAAGAAATAGGAGTTTGTTTTAAGTAAATAATTCCTTAATATTGATAAGACATTTTCCCCACAAGTTTCATAATTTGCCAATAGAACTAGTAGTTTTGATCAATATTAAGGAATTATTGACTTAAACCAAACTCCAATTTCTTGCTGAAAAGTTACTTGTAAGTTAGTTTTGTCTTTTTTCAAGTGTACTGAGAAATTTGCACTAGAAACTCGACAAAATTACTTGGTGATATTTGTGATCTGCAGGTGTTTTCCAAAGTGTGGGCTGTGGCCCCAGGTAAGGCCTCCAGGGGGCGCTAATTTCCCAAGAATTTGGAAAGAACCTGCAAAAAATTTAATCCCATCCAACTTTTAATCTTAACATTTTCATAATATTTTTTTTTCAAATAAAATAAGTTAAAATAATGTATTTAAATGTTATTACAGTGTAATTCTGATGAACAGAAAGGACTTTCACATTTTGTAGAAGTATTTTTCAGCTGCAGATCATCAAACGTTCACTAAAGGAATGCTCTGTTGTTGCATTTCAGGAAATAAAATATTTATTTTAATATTTAAAAATGAAAGTAAATCTATTTGCATCTTTTAATGCATTTCTAATATTGTATAAAAACATTTTTTTATCTGATTAATCGATTAATCATCACAATAATCGATTAATCGATGAATAAAATAATCATTTGTTTCAGCTCTTGTGCTACATTAAAACGCCTGGTTGTCAAACCCAGCTAAATAACCTAACAGCATGTTTCCTTGTCTTTCTTACTTTGAGTATGAGGTAAACAAACTACTTTCCTCTCTCTCCGGTGTAATGTAGTTACAACCAGATCCCCTGATGTTCACATTCTGGCTCCTTTGTCTGATTTTCCCCTCTTTTCTCTCTAAATCTGCACCGTTTCCCTTCCTCCTCCTGCTCTCTCCTTCAGTTGCTCTTTAATGTCTGCTAATATGCCATCATCCTCCCAGTATATTTGCTTTGTTCCACATGTCAGCTAATTCACCCTCAATAAAATATAATTGCTGCCTAATTGTGTAGTAATGAGACCAGGGAGCGACTGCAGATGTTATGAATTGAGGGAGGAAGACGTGGAGCGACAGAACGCTTCAGATTCAGACGATAATTAGTTACGTTTTTGTTTTAGGGCTGCAGCTAACAATTATTTCAGTTATCGATTAATCGGATAAAAACCGGCACATTTTACATATTTTTCATTTTACCAATTAAGCCTTTTTTATACAATATCAGAAATGCATAAAAAACTTTAACAATATTAGAAATATATTAAAATATGAAGCATTTTTAAAGAAAGAAATTACCTTTTAAATTACTGAAATGCAATAAAATCATATTTTATTGCCATTTAGTGAATTTGAACCAGATGGAGCTAAAACCCTGCCAGTTGGGGAGTTTTGTGTAATACATCTGCAGACCAGTGTTTTTATCTTAGATACAAAATGTATAAATATATATAATATATTATATTCTATAATATAATATAAAATTGACTGGATGCTACATATATTTTGTACCGTTTTGGCTTAATTACTGCTCTGAGTATTTCATTTTAATCATCAAATTAAATTTCTTTGAGTCTGTATGCTCCAGCTAGCGATTACTTGGTCACTAAATTAGTTGATGATTATTTCAGTAACTGATTAATCACGATTAATTCAATTAATCATTTAATTCCTAGTTTATTAAGTAAAAAAAAACAGTTAAAATGGTGGAAATTCACTAGAGCATTTTTCAAGTGCGTTGTATTTTTCATGTGGATTTCAGGGATTTTTATGAGTGATCTCAAATATCCAGGGCTGCTTCTGTCCTCATAAAAGTACATTTGCCTTCGGTGCTTCAACACCCTGCAGTAAAGCTGTTCGAGGAGAGAGGAGGACGGGAAAGAGACCTGGAGGTCAGGATTTTATGAAGGACATCATTTTGCACTGACAGTCATGTTAGAACCAGGGCTCTATGCTGACCCTCTAAACCCAGAAACAACATCTTCAACCTTCAGACAAAACTCCTGTCAAGGTAAAACTTCCTGATTTAACTGAGCAGAACCTTCTTTGTGGTCACTTGGAATTAGTAGCGGATTTGTGTAATTTCCAATTTCACCACTGATCAGGAGGAAATGGAAACATTAACATCATCTACAGACCCACCAGTCTGGGTTATTATCTGAGTTATTGTTATAAAACTCAGAAAAAATGGGAAAGATGAGTCATAATTGTTTTTAAAATTGATTTTCAGAAAAATCGTGCAAAGCTGTGAAAATACTTCATTCACTGAGCCACGAATGTTATGTTAAATATACACATATAAGAAAATTTAAAATATGAACTATATATAAAATGTAGAGATATATAGCACAAATACAGTGAAGCTTTTTGAAAATATGTAACTTTTTATGTAATTAAGCTCTAATAATGAAGCACAAACATAAGTCCGTCCGTCCATCTGGCGTACCCAGAAAGCCTCCAGGGCAGCAAGACTCCAGTGCTAACAGCTGCGCCACTGTGTAGCTCGGTAAAAGTTTTGATATATCCAATAAATAGTTTGCATTCTGGTCTAACTAGAATGCAAACCATGCTAGTTAGACCGTTCTGGTCTAACTAGACCACTCCAAATAATTTGGAAGTTATTTGTTTTCTGGTTGCTTTTTATGCTAACTTATAAAACCAGCCTCAAGATCATCCAGTCGCCATTTGTGAACCATTTCTGTGTTCAGCTCTCTGTTGCAGATGCGTTCTGACAAACTCATGCATCTTTACTGCAACGCCTGTGAGGCTGCAGAGAGGCATGACACTGGTGTTACATCAGTCCGTAGCTGATGACACTGACATGCATAATCATTGCTTTGCTGGGTTTCTGGGCCTTGATGCTCAGCACCAGTCCCTCCTCTTCAACTGGTTGTTCATGTAAAAAGCCAACGGTCCATTGACTCACTTGTTTGCACAGCGACAGGCAAACGTTTGTGTGTGTCGCAACTTTGGTTCGCATGACTCTCCCACCTCAGCGGGGGGTAAACGCCAAACTGGCTGCAGGTTTATTAGATTGTCAAAGTCACGAAGACGCAGCAGAGTCGGCATTTGGCTTCTGAGTGTATTAAACAGCATGAAGCAAATGGGTTTTTCTTTTCTGTGTGACTAGAGATGAAGTCTTTGCAGTCGTTGTAGAAGCTTCCAGCCACAATTTGTGCCCTGGAACAACAAACCTATCCCCTAAAAATGGATTCTTAGTGTGAAACGTGAACCTCTTGGCACTGCAGGACACAGAGCAGAGCGTCTTTGTGAATGAAAGGGGAAGTATTGTAGGTCAGTAAAAGCAGAGAGTAGAAATGGATTTGCTCTTCGTCTGAACAAAGAAAGAGGAGCTACTTCAGAGTTTGGTGGAGAAAGACACAACAACAAGGATGTGGAAAGGAAAATGGGAAGCAATATGTTATTTTATTTAATCAAATTAATCGTGATTAATCGATTATTGAAATACTCATTAACTCAACAACTACTAACCAGTGAACTAGCTGGAGAATACAGACAACACATTCAGAGCAGTAATTAAGCCAAAACATTACAAAAATATAAATTTTGCATTTAAAATAAAAACCTTCTGTGTCTGTTAATATGTTCAACCCAAAACTCATTTGTCATAATTTTAGCTTCACCTGGTTCAAATTATGTATAAAAAAACAACAAACATAAAAACAACTATTTAAGCAACTTTAGTCATCCAATTATCTACAAATGGGAAAATGGACTTAAAATGAATAACAATATTTTGTGGTAATAAGTCGTAATGAGAACTATTCATTATGAAATATTTAGATAACTGTATGGTTGTGACTGTGTGTTACAGCAATTATATCCCCACAAACACAAATACCGCTCTTGAAAAACATTCCTATTTGTAATATACATATTTAGGATCCAGTTACACAAATAATTATAATTTATGTTATCAAACTGCATTTAACCAAGTTTTGAAATGTGTTAATATTTATAGATGTTTCAGTGGAGAAAGTAGTAAAACTAATGGCCTCAACAACAGACAGTTTTGTGGGCTTTGAATATCATTAATTTGAATTTATCATGACAACAATAAATCAAAATTATTATCATGACAGGATATTTATCACGATAAATGATATTCGATGAATACCCACCCGACTGCAGATGCAATTGATCAAACATTCACTAAATGAATTCTGTGTTACTTCATTTTTGGCAATAAAGTATTTATTTTCCTCACTTAGAAAAGGAATTAAATGTTTTTTAAATTGATTAATCATCAGAATAATCAAATAATCGATTACTAAAATAATGGTTAGTTGAAGCATAATTTCCTTTATTTAATATGATTCTAATACTGTATTTTAAAGAGGATTAAATGAAAGATCTGCAGAATGTGACTGTTTTTTAAAATGGTGAGTTGCAGCCCTAATTTCTTGGTGCATTTGACAGCAGAGCTCATTAAAGGCCTCCCGTCCCCCTGGACTCGACCTGCAGGGAAACGGGCCACGGGGACGGAGGTGGTGGCAGAGAGGAGCGGCTCTTTATTTCAGCACAGATAAGCGCCGGAGCCTCTCCGGGAAGGAGGACGGAGTCTGAGACGGAGACAGGCAGGGGAAGATAAAGAGCAGCACGGACAGAGAGAGTGGGCGTTTGTGAGTGGGAAAGTGTGATCACGGCTTCAGGAGGCAAGACAGGATTTCACATCTGAGTGATATTAAAAACCCACCGGGGGGAAAAGAACTGGGATTAATGCAGCATCAAGTTGTTAATGTGAAGCTAGAAATCATATGAAATATTTACACAGACGCTGAAAACATTATGCACAGTGGAATGTGTGAGTTTAATGTATGATTTCTTCTATAAATACAACTCGTCAGACTTACTTAGGTCTAATTTAGTAGCACCTTCCTCATAATTTAAACACTGGAAGCATTTTTTTTTAACTTTATGGATTTAATTAAAGTGATAAAAAATTATGTATAAATATATTAATTATATTCTAGGGCTGCAACTAATGACTATTTTAGTAATTGATTAATTATGAATTATTCTGACGATTAATCAATATTCAGACAATCGAATTGCCTAAAATCTCAGTTAACCACTTATACAACATTAAATTATGCACATAATTGCTTAAAATTATGAGCTAATTTGTTTTTTAAGTAAGAGAAAAAACCTTTTATTGCCTAAAATGCAACGACACAGCATTCATTCATTTAGTGTATGCTTAATGTTTAGTAGCAAGGGATGCATCTGCAGCTAAAAACATATTTAACATCAACATGTGAAGGCATTTCTTTTGATTAACTGATTAATGATGGATGCAAAGATGCTTAAAATGAGAATTTTATAAAATTTGAAGTTGAAACGATCCCACTTTTGGTTTAATTTCTGCTCTGGATATGTTGTTCTTTCAGCAAATAGCTTTTTTAAATCTGTATATGCAAGTTAGTGATTAATCGATTTTTAAATTTGTTCACGATTACTTCAATAATCAATTAATCACTATTAATTGCTTCAGCTCCAGGATGTGTACATTTACGTTCATTTAAAGTTGTGCTTCAACCTCTTTGGTTTAGCTCAGAAAACCTGAATAATTTGCATCTAAAATGCTATAATCTTCTTGAACTCATCTGTTCTTCTCATGTTTTTAATTTGTGAAAACATTAAAGTTGTAATTTTAACTCATAGATGAGATAAATCATATCAAACCGTCTCGGTTCTGACTGCTGCAGAGGAGCGTTACCTTGTCTGTCCACCAGAGGGCGCTCCAGGGGCTTAATTAAGAGATTGTGTGGGAGCTACAAAACGGGCAGTTGGGTGAGAAAAATCCCATTTAGCTGCAGAATAACTTAAATTTTCCTGGAGGTATGTTCACCAGAAACTTTGATGCTTCATTAAGTGCAGAAATCTCAACTTTTAGGCGCCGCTATTAGCTCGTATTAGCTTGAGTAGCGTCCCAGTGCGACAGCTGAATCCTCAGCATTCATCCCCTCCTGCTGGGACTGACTCACTCCAGCTTCTTTGATGCTACTGTAAATACGCCTGTGTGTGTGTGTTTGACGAAAACCTAGTGTAATACAAACATTAGGATTAAATCTGTGGTGCTGTAAATCGTAAAAAAAAAAAAAAGAGAAAAGAAACACACACACACACACCTATTCACACAACAAAGCCTGTGCACGTGCTCATACAGGCGCACCATCGCGGTACCACATCCTAGGGAACACAGGGAGGTTTCTATGGCAACAAGCATCCTGCTCCGCTAATGAACCGGTTGCCGTGGCGACCGTGTCGGCTGTGCTCAATCGGAGTCGAGAAGATGCACAGAAAAAAAGAATAATAAACTGGGAGCATTCCTTTCTCTCCTCCCCCCCGTGTGATTCGTGTCAATGTGTGTGTGTGTGCGCGTGCGTCTGTGTGTGTGTGATGTTGAGATAAATAACACACTCAATGAGCGTTGTGTGAGAGAGCAATCCCAGCATCTGCTGCACTCTGCATGGGCCAGATTCGCCTCGCTGCTGCCTGAAGGTCAGAGGCAGACCGGACCGGAGGAGACGGATCAGAACACAGAACTCAGCCGGCCGGGCTGCAGCTCCAGAACCCACCTGAGCCCGCCAGGCGGCGGCTCTTCAGCTGCATTTTGCTGACTGAACTCCATAACCGCCGGGCGTTTTGAATGTCCGGAACCAAACCTTCAGTCACCGCGTTTACGGACTGCATGGCGTCTCAGCTTGAGCTCAAAGAACGAAACTATGATGGACTTTTAGGGCCACACTGAGAAATAATAAAAATAAATGACATTACATGTCATAAAATTATAAGAATAGTTGTAAAATTACGAGAATAAGGTTGAAATAATGCAAGAATAAAGTCGTAGCATTATGAGAATAAATCATATCACTTTATTCATGTACAACTTTTAGGACACTGAAGTAAAGTTGTAATGTTTTTTATTCTCATATTATTTTGACTTTATTCTTGTAATTTTATTTTTTGATTCTAATACTCAGTTGTACGGACCTAAGTAAGCGCGACGAAGTTTAATATAAAAACATGAACAATTGTAGCTAATCAAATTTTTGGTTTTTGGACATTTAATTTCTATTTATTTGAACTTTATACAAACAGATATAAGGGCCAGGCTGTGATTTTTTTAAATTTATATACTCTTTTACAAGAATAAGATCATAATGGAAGAAAGAAGTAGTAATTTAACAAGAACTAAAACACAAAAAAAATATAAAAATTAAAATGAGGAATGATGAGCATCTTATGAAGTTATACTTTTATCAGTAAGGATAGGAAGGAATCTTTTCACAGATCATTTCATCCTAATTGAGTCAGGTTTAGGTTCAGATTTCAAATAAAATGCATTTCTTATTTGTTCAAAGTTTCTCCATTCATAAAACGATGCTATACTGTTTTCCATTAAGCAGAACTATTGGTCACTTTCTTGATTAATCAGAATAATAAACATGTTTCTGTCGTCTTAACATTGAGTTTATCCTGCAGAAATGTCTGCGGTTCAACCCGGACGCCACTGTGTGGAAGGCCAAGCAGCAGGTGCTTTGCTCTCTGACCGAATCGCTGCGAGACGTGCTGAACTACGGCCTCTTCCAGCCCGCCACCGACGGACACGACGCCAAGTTCCTGGAGGAGGAGAGGCCGCTCAGAGAGTACCCACAATCCTTTGAGAAAGGGGTGCCATATTTGGAGGTACTAATTCTGCCTGATGTGCAATACGCTGTTCTTCCTGAAGATGTCACTGCTGTTCTTTAGTGCAGCAAAAACAGATTGGATTAAAACTGCAGGATGCAGCTTATATAAGGAATGTTTGTTAAAACTGTCACCATGTCATGACAGAGTAATATGAGACAGATAATCTCTGAAAAGATTGATTTCCCCCTCCACCTCCATGAGCTGCTATTACCATCTGAAGAAATGAACCGCTCCCGTTCAAAAACAACCAATCAGAGCCAGGAGGACGGTCTTAGTGCTGTCAATCCACCTCATATACTCGCTAATAAATGGGCTAATGGTGGAGAAACAACTAACTATTTGCCATTATCAGTAGCTATGCTAAGTAGCTTAGCATTCACAAGAGGCTATGCTAACTACATTGTGGCAGAAAACAAATGGGGTGGGGAGGATGAGTGGCCAAGATTGTGATTGACAGCGCTAAGACCCGCCTCCTGGCTCTGATTGGTTGTTTCTAGTTAGCGCTTGAAGAAGACAGACAAGCTAAATTTTTTTCCCCTGATTATTTGTCACAAGATAGTGATAGTCCAAACAAATATGTGAAAAAATATTTTTTACAGAAGTTACATACTTCAGCTTTAAGGAGTGTTAAATATATGAGGCATCTTCTTTCTTATCTTCTGTGGGGAATAAATTTAAAAAATTGGCTTTACAATAAGTTTGCGCTCCCCATTTTTCTGTACGTGGGTCAAAAGTTGGACAATGTTAACAATGCTAATGCTAACAGCATTGTTTGTTTTTCTCCGTTTCTGTCGCCGGTTTAGTTCCGGTATAAAACCAGGGTTTACAAACAGACCAATCTGGATGAGAAGCAACTGGCCAAGCTGCACACCAAGGTAAGAAATCCTTTATTTCTCACCTCTGATATCGGACCAGAACATTAGATCTGACAGTTTTAACACTCCCTCTACTAACGCAGGCCAGTCTGAAGAAATTCATGGATTACATCCAAACCAGTGCTGTGGACAAGATGGCCAAGTTCATAGACAAGGGCCTGGATCCAAACTACCAGGATCCTGACACTGGTGGTGAGGAGAGCTGCACAGCAGATGTTTATGTTTTCTATCAGCTACACTGGATGTAGCAGCCGATCTAGAGAGAAAGGGGTCAGGTTAGCCGCCAACAGTGTTTAATGTGGCAGAGGCGACATATTTACAATTTTTCTAACTTTTTTTTTTTTTTCAATCATAATGTCTCCACAATTCTTTCTTAAAAAGTTTTGAGTCATCATCTTCTTTGGATTCTGTGTGTTTTGGCAGTTGAGGCTACCGCTAACTAGCTGCTGTCATTCCTAATTAGCTGCTGTTTGGCGTCGGTTTTTTGTGCATTTTTGTTATGATCCAGGTATTAAATGTCATTCATGATGGTTAACAGGGTTAACAATAAAACACTATATCCAAAGTGAAACGTGGTGGTGGCAGGAAACATTTTGCGCTCCTGCCAAAAGAGACTGAGTTCTGAAGTTAAATGGAAAGCTGCTTTAGTGACAGATTAGTTGTTATTCAACCTGATTATTCCACTTTTTATAAATGTTTATTGTGTTCACAGTTGTTTCACTTTTAATTTAATTGTACAGGATACCTTTGGAATGTGATTTATTGTAGATTAATGGTTTATTAGATTGAAATTAGTTCCAGTCGATTAACTAATAACATCCATTAAGACCTTCTTTCAGTGTTGTAGTTTGGCCTCCGTCCAGCAGAGGGCGCCGCTGATAGGCTTCCTTAACCGGAGCTACAGAAACAAAGATGGCGGAGCCTTCTTTGTGTAGAACCAAAGTGTAACGGTCCAAACCGAGTGCTTTTTAATTAAAAAAAGAACTCATGCGGTTCTTTGATGAATTAAAACACTTGACAAGCTCTTTAAGTTATCACCTTCATAGCGCTGGAGGATGTGATGACAGAAAAGCGGAGTGGATAACTCGGAAAAATATAAAAAGACATGACGCCATTAAGCACGGCTAATTTAGAAGACTGGTTAAGTTTAACAAGGTGAGAAAACCATAATTTTCTATTTATTTAGTCAGTATCTCACTCAGCCGACACACAAAAATGTTCAAATTTAAGGTGTTTTTACAATGCAGCATATGAAAAGTTTCGAAAAGACGGTTGGACTTTGGTACAAGAGAAAACGATACAAGAAAAAACTAAGGTTTTTAAGAAACGATCATTAGTTAATCGTTAGTTGATAAGAGTAATCAACTTTAGATTTACTCATTAATGAGGACTTGCATCCTTAATGTGGGATGTTTTAACATAAAAATGTAACATTTTTGAGAGCCACTGAAACAGTAAAGCTGCAGTTGTCTTACCTTTTCAAAAATTCAAAATGTCTTAAAGCTGCGAATAGATTTAAGCAGCTATGTGACCTGTTAAATCTCAACCTTTAGAGCGTTTCCAAGCAGAAATAAAACCTTCTGTTTTCTGCCCTCGGCTCTGTCGGCTGTTGTCCCAACAGTTGGTTGGAGATCAGAGCCAGGCCGGCTCGCTAACTGGTGGCTTTTCCCGGATCCTGCCGGTGTTTAAGGGCCGCGGCAGACGGCTCATTTACAGCCGAGGCGTGTTGCTCGGAGCCGCTCCAGCCGCTGTGGGACCGGGTGTCAAAACACGGAGAGAAGCGTGTGAAACGTGCTGCCGCTGCTGGACACATGGGGGCAGCAGAGAGTCGTAATTCAACGATTCAGAGCTGTTCTTAACCTGTCTGTCACGAGAGGACCCAAATTTGGGTCCTCTCGTGACAGGGGTGTCAAACTCCAGTCCTCAAAGGCCTCTGTCCTGCCACTTTTTGATGTGCCTCTGCTGCACCACACCTGAAAAGAATAATTAGGTCATTAGCAAGGCTCAGGAGAACCGATCTACACAGGGAGGAGGTAAGTAAGCCATTTCATTCCACTGTTTTTTACCTGTGGCACATCTAAACACTGCAGGACAGCGGCCCTTGAGGACTGGAGTTTGACACCCCTGTCATTGTGAATGACAACCTGAGACCAACAGGTTAAAGTCCAGCACAGAGCTTAGAGAGGGACTGTCGGATAAAAATGTTTTACTCTACCTACTCATGACGTCCAGATGCCGGAGAATCAGAGTCTTTAATTAGAGATAATTAGTTTCTGTTGGTTTCGGTCTGGTTGGTGGCGGAGGCGCCTCATTTCCGTCGAAGGGAAGAAGAAGAAGAAGAAGTTCTGAAGGAGAAACACCTGAAGAAGTCTAGTTAATACATGCCAGCTGTATTAGATTTATACCTGAGATCCACAGAAGATGAGCAAAGACAATGATTCAGCAATTTTCCTGCTTACCAAAAAGCAACACTGGAAACTTACTGTTACCATGACAACCTCATTTCTGCTGGAAATACTTTAAATATTTTTGTTCCTCAAA